ACCAGTAGCTGCCTCATTTCCAACCCTCGGCTTATATTCGGGTCAATACTTTTTCCCAGTTTTTTTTGCTAAAATTAGGTACCTAGGCTTATATTCGGGACGGCTTATACTCGAGTATATACGGTAATCTGCACATGATTTGATGATTAAAATGAATATTTACACAATTTGTTGTTTGAAAATTAAAAGTGTCATTATAGTAAAGATGGTTTACCTGAGGGTGAAAGTAGATGTTCTGTTGGTAAAACTACCTTCCTATATGCTGTATTCTACAGTTCCAGATCTACCCTCAGGATTCCCTCTACCCATCCAGCAGGTTTTTAACCAGTTGACATCCGCGGTGTTAAACCCCCTTCCCATTCAGGCCATTTTTCAGTATTCAGCGCTGAGATACTTTGACTGACATTTATTCCGTCATGCAGCGCTGTACTGAAATGAATTTTATACCCTTTTTTGGGGACAGATAGAGCTTTCTTTTGGTGGTATTCGCGAACGAGCACATATAGGCGATCGGCGGGCTATTGACCCGTTGATCGCCTATATGTGAAACACCCGGTAACGGGTGTGTGCAACAGTCGGGTCTTTTCTGCCCGTGCGTGCCCGCCAGGGGGCGCGCGCGAGCAGAAAAAATTTCCCGCAAATGCAGCAGTGCCGTCCGTCCGTTTTTTTACTACGGGCGGACGGCAAGAGGTTAAAGCTGTGAAAAATAATAAAGGGTTATTATCCTGATTATCATAATATAACAGGCATTCACACAAAAATGTTAAAAAATTAAATCTCTGTGCGCAAGGTGCAAAGCCGAAACTCAATATTGGATGCCAGTGATCTTCGGACCCATAGACGGCACTGCATTAAAAACAAGCATGATTCTGTGATGGACGTCACTGCATGGGTTTAGGAATACTTCCAAAAATCACTGTCTATGAACACAGTTCGCCATGCCATCCAAAAATGCCAGTTAAGCTTCATAATGCAAAGAAGCCACATCTGAACATGACCCAGAAACACCACCGTCTTCTTTTGGCCAAAGTTCATTAAAATGGTCTGTCGCAAAATGGAAAACTGTTCTGTGGTCAAACAAATCGAAATGTTACCTTCTTCAGACTAGAGAGGAGAGGGACCTTCCGACTTGTTATTAGCGTTCAGTTCAAAAGCCTGCATCTCTGATGGTATGGCGGTGCAATAAAAAATTGAAAGAATTTGGAATTTCAACACCAAATTTTTTTAATATTTTAACTAGGGCTGTTACTGATTAAAATTTTCGTGTAAAAAACTGTTAGAAACATGGACTGTTATAATGCTATATCAGGCAAGAATGGGACAATAGTCCTCTCCCAAAACTCTAGCAACTGGTCTCCTCAATTCTGAAATGTTTACAGTGTGTTGTTAAAAGAAGAAGGGATGCTACACCGTGGTGAACATGGCCATGTCCCAAATTTTTTCAGACATGTTCCTGCCATCACTTTCAAAATAACCTTGGTAGTTCCGTCAGTGGCTTAAACCCGTTGTTAGGACAGCCACTCTTGCCAATCTAGTTTAGAAGTGATCATGAAATCTGCTAGCACCAGTACAGACAGGGTTAATTTGAAACAAAACTCCCCAGACAGTGAGAACTAAGCAGAATATTTCAGTTAGCACAATAAACATCTAAAAAAAAAAAGGTAAGCTACAATTTTTTACTATTTTTTAAGTTATGCTATGTGAATGTAACAAATATGAAGTAGGTGTTATGACAATTTGGCTGCAAAAGTGGAAGTACACTTTCAGCTATACAGGTGAAACTCGAATAATTAGAATATCGTGCAAAGTTCATTTATTTCACTAATGCAACTTGAAAGGTGAAACTAATATATGAGATAGACTCATTACATGCAAAGCAAGATAATTCAAGACGTGATTTGTCATAATTGTGATGATTATGGCTTACAGCTCATGAAAACCCCAAGAACCCCAAATCCACAATCTCAGAAAATTAGAATATTACATGCAATCAATAAAACAAGGATTGTACATAGAACAATATCGGACCTCTGAAAAGTACAAGCATGCATATGTACTCAGTACTTGGTTTGGGCCCCTTTTGCAGCACTTACTGCAATTACTTTTGCATGATATTCTAATTATTCGAGTTTCACCTGTATGTTGTAGTGGCTAAGGAAATACATGCTTACTTCCTATGCGACTCAGCTCCATCTGGTGCCCATAATGCGGTATTACAAGATGACATTCTAAAATACGGTACATTCAACTTATTAAGAAAATATAACGACCTGGATGTGATCGAAATCCACCCTACCCCTATATCCACTCTCCTATGGCTGCTCCCTGCGCCCGACACCGCTCAATCCGATCTTGTCCCACTGTCTTCAAATTTGGGATAGTGTGAAATATTACGGTAACCTACTACAGTATCCCGTTTCTCTATTTACTCCTTTCTACTTTGTTGCATACCCCTCTTTTTCCTCCAGGATTTAATACTAACCCACTCACTCTCTTGGTGGGGGAACCACGACTTCACGGTTTATTCCTTACTCACTGCTTCTGGTATAAAATCTTTTCAACATCTACGGGATTCTTATGCCATTCCTGTGGTGGAACGCTATCGTTACATCCAGATTCAACACTTTATTGCATCTCTCTTGAAGGACAATCCCTCTCCTAACCATCAACCATCTCCATTTGAGTTTTTTTGTTGTACTAACCCACATGCCCCTAGCCTTATTACCCTACTCTACTCCTCTATAATGTCTTCCTCCACCCTTGTGCCCGCATCTTATCAATGTAAGTGGCAGGAGGAATTGGGTAGGTCTTTGCCTAATGATGACTGGGTAGCCATTTAGGAGTCTATGGCGAACTGCTCTCATAATGTGCACGCGTGTGGCTAAATTATGGATCAGAGTGTACAATATGATTTGTACTATTTTGCATACACAGCTACACAGGGACCTGTGTAAGGCATTACTGTTGAAACCGATTCCACACTTGAATCACCTAGAGCTTGTTTTATTGACCCACACTTTTGTAGCTACTAAAATGACCATAGCTAGAGCTTGGAGATCTCAGTACTTGCAATTTGAGGAAGTTAAATACCGTCTCAATGATGTCATAGTTGATGAAAAACTCACTGCAATCTTGTCAGACATCCATGCTCACTTTTTAGCGATTTGGCAACCCTAGATTGATTGACTCCGGTGCTCTAGTCTTTTTTTTATCATTCTTTTCTTTTTCTTTCTTGAATCTTCTTTCTATCCTTTAGATTAGGTTCAGATATCGGCGATCCCGGGACGCACGTCCCCGTGCTGCCCGATCGTGCAAGATTGCAGTGCCTTTGAATTCAATTTGGTTATATATGTGCGGCAATCGCTGAAAAAAGGTATAAGTACCTCCTTTTTGCGACACGCACCACACCGTTTTTTGAACTGTGATTGTGTGCATTTGCATGGATATCTTTGTGGCGGAAACCATGCAAACTGCCTGGCGCAACTGGGGTGCCATTAGAAAATGATGATTCCATGACCGCATGGCCATCCGCGCGATTTCGTGCACGATTGCTGCGCGGTCACGAATCACCCTAATGCAAGCCTAGCACTACTTTGGGTTTTTCTCTTTCTTTGTCCCTCTTTCTCTTATTCTCTTTATCTATCCATTGTTCTGCTGCTCTTCTTATCGCACTTTTGCATCTTCCCTTTTTCTGAATGTTTCTTCAGTCTCGTTTCTTCCCCGCGTTTTCTGCTCATGGTGATTATAGCCTTAGTCTGAGCTGTTTGTACGTTGTGCTGTTTTTGTTTGGGATTTATATGCAGTATCTACAGTATATTTCCCCTGTTCTTTGGGTCACGCTGCCTTCTCCTCATAATGGTTTATTTGCTTTACTTTAAGAACCAAACTCTGTATCTTACCCCTTGTTATTTACCTTTTTATCATATGTTAATGTTCTCTGTTTACTAAAACTGAAAAAATACCAATACAAATATTGTGTAAGAAAATATACCGAGAACATTTGCTTAGTGCATCCATTTGCACACAACGAACAGTCACATAGATTGCCCTTGGCCCTGCAAATCTTTTATAAATGATGGGCAGCACAGTGTCCCTGGTTCGAATCCTGGCCAGGATTTTGCATGTTCCCCCTGTGCTTTGCTCCAGGTACTCAGGTTTCCTCTGGTAATGCTGGTAGGTTAATTGGCTCCTCTCTAAATTGCCCCTCTATGTAGGCATGTGAGATAGGGACCTTAGATTGTAAGCTCCTTGAGTACAGGGACTGATGTGAATGTGCACTGTAAAGCGCTGCGTAAATTGTCAGCACTATATAAATACCTATAATAAATAAATTAAAATAAATAAATATAAATAGACCTTTAAGTTATGGGAAATCTCTCTAGCAGTACCTCCATATAGCAGTAAAAAAAAACCTGAGAAGGGTTCTAATCCCTCCCTACTCTTTTCAAAACTTAAAAAATCATTGGCTGGACTTTACATTTATTTATTAGTTTAAATTAATAATTTTAGCTCAAGAAGACTATTTTTACAGTAGCTAAAACGAGAAACAGGGCCAAAATAATTATTCAATGTTAGTAAATTGAGCTTAAAGTTTTCAGATGCATTTAGTGAAGTGGCAATTACCATTAGGGAATTACCATTACAGAAGTGACTGATAAAGCTAGCAAGATGAAACATAGCTGCAGAGCAAACATAGATTGACATTGTTTTAGTAACACCCCCAAGTTTATGATGTAGGTATCTGTAGCAATACTTTATTTAGGACACCTAAATATGTTATAATGCAGTGAGTCGTAATTCATTAATTTTTTTTATTTTGGTAAGACTGTTGTTATTGTGAGCTTCAGTGTAAGTAAAAATTATAAAATGACCCTAATTTGTAAAATTGTGCTAGAAAATGTTTCAGTGTATATACTACTAAGTGCAGTCAGAGTTATGAATTGCAGCTTCTGGACAGTCCTAACTTACTATAACAAATCCCTCTCTATCTCTTTCTGTAGATGGACCCAGTGCAGAAGGCAGTTATTAATCACACCTTTGGTGGGCCGTCTCCTCCAAAAAGGAAGCCCTTTATATCCTGCAATGTCTGTCATCTCAGGTTCAACTCCCTGGTAAGGATTATATTGTAAAGCAAAGATATTGTAAGCAGAGCGATACCTACTGTAAGTTATTCAGGGTTCTGATAGCCCTCATCTGCATCTTGCTAAACGGTATACAGGGCAAACAATTCAGGGACGTACCTCTGTACTCTGCTCTGTGCCCATATTAGCAAACAATGTCTTAGCAAATAAAAGATTAGAAACAACTTTTCTTTAGATCCAATGACTATAGCCTTTGCTGGCAATGAGAAAACTATAATGACATGCATAATGTCAGGTCAGGAGTAGATATCAGAGTAAACAATTCAGAAGTGCTAAAAGTGCAAAGAGTTCAGTAACAAGAGCAGGTCTGTAAGCAGAGCAGGCTGGATGGTACTTGTGGTCCACTGCTGCAGATGGAGGCTGGCTGGTACTTGTGGTGCACCGCTGCAGATGCAGATGAAGGATGGCTGGTACTTGTGGCGCACCGCTGCAGATGAAGGATGGCTGGTACTTGTGGCGCACCGCTGCAGGTGGAGCAAGTAAAGACGGCTGTGTTGAGCCTGGTAACACAGTAGGGTCAGGCAAAAGCGTAGTCTTGACAAGCCGGGTCACACACGTGTAGATCAGAATTCAAACAGTACCGAATCAGCAGCGAGGAAGAGCAGGATCAGAACAAGTCGGATCATACAAAAGTAGATCAGAGTTCAGATGGTACCCAATAAGCAACAAGAAAGAGAAGAGTCAGAACAAGCTGGATCATACACAAGTAGTTTAGAGTTCAGATATCAGCTGGGTAAAGCAGGAGCACAAGGTACAAGGTAGCAACGCTATCACGATTTTTTTTTATTTTGGTAAGACTGTTGTTATTGTGAGCTTCAGTGTAAGTAAAAATTATAAAATGACCCTAATTTGTAAAATTGTGCTAGAAAATGTTTCAGTGTATATACTACTAAGTGCAGTCAGAGTTATGAATTGCAGCTTCTGGACAGTCCTAACTTACTATAACAAATCCCTCTCTATCTCTTTCTGTAGATGGACCCAGTGCAGAAGGCAGTTATTAATCACACCTTTGGTGGGCCGTCTCCTCCAAAAAGGAAGCCCTTTATATCCTGCAATGTCTGTCATCTCAGGTTCAACTCCCTGGTAAGGATTATATTGTAAAGCAAAGATATTGTAAGCAGAGCGATACCTACTGTAAGTTATTCAGGGTTCTGATAGCCCTCATCTGCATCTTGCTAAACGGTATACAGGGCAAACAATTCAGGGACGTACCTCTGTACTCTGCTCTGTGCCCATATTAGCAAACAATGTCTTAGCAAATAAAAGATTAGAAACAACTTTTCTTTAGATCCAATGACTATAGCCTTTGCTGGCAATGAGAAAACTATAATGACATGCATAATGTCAGGTCAGGAGTAGATATCAGAGTAAACAATTCAGAAGTGCTAAAAGTGCAAAGAGTTCAGTAACAAGAGCAGGTCTGTAAGCAGAGCAGGCTGGATGGTACTTGTGGTCCACTGCTGCAGATGGAGGCTGGCTGGTACTTGTGGTGCACCGCTGCAGATGCAGATGAAGGATGGCTGGTACTTGTGGCGCACCGCTGCAGATGAAGGATGGCTGGTACTTGTGGCGCACCGCTGCAGGTGGAGCAAGTAAAGACGGCTGTGTTGAGCCTGGTAACACAGTAGGGTCAGGCAAAAGCGTAGTCTTGACAAGCCGGGTCACACACGTGTAGATCAGAATTCAAACAGTACCGAATCAGCAGCGAGGAAGAGCAGGATCAGAACAAGTCGGATCATACAAAAGTAGATCAGAGTTCAGATGGTACCCAATAAGCAACAAGAAAGAGAAGAGTCAGAACAAGCTGGATCATACACAAGTAGTTTAGAGTTCAGATATCAGCTGGGTAAAGCAGGAGCACAAGGTACAAGGTAGCAACGCTATCACGAGCACTGGTGGTGTGTTGACTTAGGTGATTTAAAGGTAAGCTGGCCAATCACCGTTACTTCCTAGACAAGGGCTGTCTCAGGTGAGCTATGCTGAGTCTAAAGGTGGCCATACACCTTACAACCATCGCACGACTTTCGTTGTACGATGGTTGTAAGGTGATTAAAAGCTTGTACGACCTGCCCATCTTGGACAGGCATATCGTACTTGCGATCATCGCAAGTCCTCCCCTCTGAGGGTAGGGCTTGCAGATGATTGCAATGGTGAGTGGGCAGTGTGCGCTTGCGCACCTCGGCCCGTGCAGCTTTAGTTTTGCGATCGCGCTACCAACCCGCCAAAAATCGTACGATTTTCAGCGGGTTTTCTAGCGTGCTCGTTATACGTAAATCGGACAACCGTACAGTAAACGCTCGCTGCCCATCAACATAAATATATTAATAATAGTTAGTAAGCTTGTTCAAATTCTAAATTTTCCAAAGAAGGACATAATGGAACATATCCTCTTACATGTAAGAGGATATGTTGGTGTTAGTTTCCCCTTCTTTAGAACGTTTAGAATTTGAACAAGCTTACTAATTATTATTAGATTTGTAGACCCTTTTTGTCCTGGAGGGTGATGTGCCTCATGTGAGTTCCCTCTCTGGAGTCACATATGTAGAGGGAGACACATGATTGTACTGTAGCTGGTTGTGTGTATAAGCAGGTGATGTATATAGATATGTATATGGTGATGTATTTATGTGTACATACCTAGTGAATATTAAACAGTTGTTGTAATCATAATGTATTGTATATTGTATTCATACCATTTATGCATTGTAGATACCTACCTACAGTCTGTGCTCCTGAGTAAGTGGACATTGTTCATGAAACGCTTAGGGAGTCATCTTAATTCCAGCAGTGGAAGTTACAACAAATGCATGTCGATGGTCTATTTATATGATTATGAACTTCTTATGGTGAGATTTATGTAGGGGAAGGCAAAAAAAAAAAAAGCTTGTACCAGCAGTCCAATTATTTTTTGCACAATGATTTTAATGCAATTAATTAATAAATACTGTATATTAGGCCTGTGGAAATGAAAGATTAATTTCTCGATTAATCGTTAAACTTTTTGATCGATTAAAATTATTTTGATCGCTAATGAAAACACTCACCTCTCCGCCGGCTTCCGGGAGTCCCGTCGGCGATCCGGTGACGTCACGGACATCGACGTCATCGACGAAGGGAAGTGGGGAGGAGTCCGGTGACGTTGATGTCTGTGACGGCTAACGAAGGGAAGGGGAGGAGTCATGTGATGTTGATTTCCATGACGTCGCCGGACTCCTCCCCCCTTCGTTAGCCGATGGAGCCACTTGGGCCGGTGAGTTTGCCCAATAAACTTTCTGCACGAGCGCCAGCCAAGGCATTGGCCTATACACATACAGCACAGCAATGAAGTCATAAAATGAGCTAGGATCACACTAATCCAGCACGTTATTATTCTGAGTTGCCCCACTCTAGCGGCGGCCATATTGAGTCGGGCACGTGAGATTAATAACGTGCTGGATTAGTGTGATCCTAGTTCATTTTATTACTTCTTTGCTGTGCTGTATGTGCATAGGCCAATGTAGTTGGATCTGTATGTGCGTTATAATTAATCAAAATTAATCGATTTTAAAAAATTTCGATTAATCGAACACGAAAATGTTAATCATTACCAGCCCTACTGTATATCGATCTTGTCATACATATGTGCACCTTTAAAGCCCCTGAAAGTAGTAGGTATGATGGTACAACACCCTAGAGGGGAATAGGTCATGGATAAAATATACTAATGTTTATGGATTTAGATGTACTTTAACATTAAAAGTACTTTGGCAGTAACAACTCTATAGAAGGGTTGTTTGGCTGTAAATTCTTGAATGCCTTCATTTTGATGCGATGCTAAACAAAACAAAAAATAGTTGTCTTAGCACCTATGTGCCTTTTAGCTAAGCCTGCAGTACATTTTTAGTTCTGGTTGATGTGATATATGTGATATACTTTAAGGAGTATAGGGATGCAAATCCTACTTATTTGGTTTTAGTTTATACAAGGAAATACAGAATATTTCGTTTTATTAGTATATGGCCCCTTCATTTCCTTTTGCACATATGCTATAACAAAATGATTTGCTTTTCAAATATATAAGCTGTTATCTGCACAGATTTTCTGATGTGAGTGAAATGGCGTTAGAATAATTACATCCATCGTTCATTTGAGATTTTTTCTTCTCTTGGCCATAACTGAGCAATGCATTTTACATTTTGCCCATTACATTTTAAGGAAGTACTCTTATGCTGAAAGGCAGAAATAAATATTACACAAGCTTATTCACTTTCATGTTGCATTGGGCATGACTTGCACCGAACAAAGCTCATCTATGAACAGATAATTAAAAGAAATTTAAATATGAAATATTAGCTGTCTGATTTTCTTTAAATAATCCTTTGTCACTAGAGCCTTGTCTTCTGTTTATAGATGATGGGTGGGTTTAATGTGTCCACCTGGTTGCTATTTAACCTACGAATAAAGAATTGACAAGCCAAGCTAATTCTTCCCTGGTCTATTTAACACCACTGGCTGTGCTGGTTAATGGCTGCAGATGCAGTTAAAATCATTAGACCCCCGTAGAGACACTTGGATGTAGAGATTGCTCCTTTTCTTATCACCATTTTAGCAGTACATTACAGCAGAGAATGCACATTTGGTCACGTGCTATAGGTCAGCATGAGGTTTTGTTCAGAGTGTTCTTAGTGTTTTTCTGGGGGAAGCTGTATAATCAGTGAATTCAATACTGTCTCTCCATCATCATTAGATACACATGGGTGCCAATTCCTAGGAGACTCTGCTGAATCCCAAAATAATTTATCGGAAGCACAGGAATACAACTTTTTTGTTTGTTTATCTGCCAGAAAGAAATCTTAATCCAGAAGGCTCAGTTACACCAGACCGGTCTGCTGCAGTGCAATGCGTACGTGTTGCATTACACTTTATTGTGCATTGTGTTAGGCAGCCCATTCATTTAAATGGCTTACCCTAATGCACACCACAACAGGACC